GGTCGTAATGGCCACTACCTTGTGCGAAAATGGCATTTTACGACACTGGAAAACCATGGGGTCATTATGGTCGTAATGCTTATTACAACATGGTTGTAACGCCCCATGCATAGTGCTAAAATCTCTTCTCTATTGCCCAGACTTCCTAACATCTTCAGACATCTTTCTGGTCTAGCTCTTTTTTCGTTTGAACATGGCATTTATCATTCAATTCTCTTCAAACTTCTTAATAATAATGAAAACAAGAAATCAGAAGTAAAATGGAAACAAATCAAACAAATATAGATAATAGGCGATAAATTTAAATGGCTAAAACAATAAAAACACAAGGAGAAATTATTGGAATGACGATGAGGCCTGAAAAGTTCCTAGATCAATCGTTTGAGAGGTCAGGATTTGGTGAGATGCTTTAACGAATGAGGTTATCAGAACTAGAACACTTGTTTCAAGCAAGGGTATGGGTGGTGTCACGATGAGTCGTGGAACGAGCCGCTCTAGAGGTTATCATTGTTAACTATTGTAAAAGTTAACAGTGAATGGGCCAGTTAACATAAACAACTGTGGAGAGGAAATTAGAGAAATCTACTATGGAGTTCAGTGAGAATCAAAAGACAATTCTCATAGACGGTGCCACTATTTTGGTGCAAGACATAAAATGGAAAGTAGGTGGTGAAAACCATCCTGAAAAGTCTCAGGTACGATAGTGAATATCTTTAGTGATCGAAAAAGAGAATTTACCATAAGATTAGCACTCTAACGTCTAAGTTATTAAAATAGTATAGACATAACATACGAGTACGTAATTGTATCTTAATGTGACATGAAATCATACTTATATAAGAATGGCATCTAGAATCGTCAAGTGGAGATGACACCAAACGTGAGGGATTGTTGGATAGATCCTACCGATTGAGATGGGTCAGTATCTTGCTTTAGTGTAGGACTCCACAACAAAAATATACATATTTGTCAACTTAAGTGCGCATAGTATTTAAATTGGATCTCAAAATGGACTCACAACAAAAGTACACATATTTATTGACTTAAGTGCACATGGTATTTGAATTAGATCTCAAAATTTGACAAGTTTTATTGGATCTTTATTAGGTCATTCTACTAGTCCATAACAAAGACCTATAAAAAAAATATACATTAGAGATACAAATAATCCAAAAGCACATATGTTCTATGCAAATATTAATAATCTTAAATCAAATTTTCTTTCTCTTCATCACTTAATATTTTAACTTAATATTTTAAGACATATTTCAACATTTCATTTGACTCTCTTGTTATTAAGACATACTTCAACATCTCATTTGATTCTCTAAATAAGACTAGATTATTTATAAAAAAAATTCATATATTTTATTTGAGCTCTTAGATATATTCCATGAATAAAATAATACATAGATGTGTTTAGTGAATCCATTCAATATTAATATAAAAAGAAAGACTTATGGTTGAAGTTCATGCACAACTAAATTTGAAGTAGGAAAACTGTTAACACATTATTATTCCATCCTTTACCTTGCATTTTCTTAGTTTCTATATACTATCTTTTCTGGGAGGGGATTGTCTCCAATGACATAACTCTCCCATTAAATCTGAACCATTGATAGGGAAATGAAAGATGAATAAAGAATAAAACGTATACAATTCAATGGTGATGATTAACACTGGACAGAAAATCAGTGGAGTGATGATTAACACTGGACAAAAAATAGTAGATTTTCACGAGAGGGGATCCATCCCCATATTTTCTCCAATCCGCTGTGCTCTCTGTTTTATTATCATCCAATATCAACGTATCCCCGAAGCCAGATGCAAAACTATATTAATTTATTTGTTTTGTTTGAGCGTGACATTTGTAAACTCAAACTATCTTAATTATCAGCTTAAAATTAAATATGATATTAATTTCATTTTCACTAACTAGCACTTGGACACTCTTGACTAACAACAAACGAATTTTAAAAAATTAAAAAACACTTATTTGATTTCATCAGGAGGAAAAATAACTAGTTGAATTTTTGAAAAATATTTGGATGGATTCAATCAGCCCCGTTAACAATTCTATTGCGTTAGGATCCCATAATTTTGGATAGATTCAATCAAACCCATTAACAATTCTATTGTGTTAGGATCCTATAATGTTAGGGGCGTGCAGCACTAAGGAGATTCAAATATGAAATTGCTGGTGTAGTGGGTGTTCAACTATGGGAAGACAAAATTTAGGTAAGAACCTTTTTTTTTAATGATACAGTTGTTAGAATATTTACAATAAATTGTTGAAAAAAATATTAAATAATTGAATGATTGTAATGAAATGTCGAGAGTTGAATTAATCGGTGTTAAAAAAATAACATTTTAAATTTTTTAGATTTTTATCTCATCCTAATTATTTGAGGTCAATTATTTCATTTTTTGTCTATAAATAAATATTTGATTCATTTGATTTAGACACAAAAAATTGACTTTCAACATCAAAAACATAAAAGAAAATAAGAATACAAAATAAAAATGATAGGATAGCGTGTTGAATTTTATTAAACAAAGTTGAGTGAGTATTAAATTATTAGATGGAAGAGAGAAGATGATGAGTGTAAAAAGTGAAGGAAAAAAGTGTTAGAATCCGTAAAACCATAATAATAGTAGTACATAATCTTATATGAACATTCATATTTCTCAACATGTCATATGTGACCGGTGCGTGCGTGAATGATTGAAACGGTTTCGATTTAGATAGATAGAATAAGGCACTAAGACATCAAAACGTGTAGGAGGCAAATGCGAACGAGGTGATAGGAGGGGATCACACAATCGGTCATATCAAAATTCAATAGTTGAACCAATGCATTCACTCCATGAAGAGATTAAGAGAAATCAGAAATAGGAATTAAAGGTAGACGCACAGATAGACATATCTAATCCCACACTTGTTCTCAATCCCTAAAACATATATTGTGTTTTCTTTCGTTCAAATTCCCTTGATACAGATCATCATATAATAGTGGAAAGAATACAAGCAACAAAGGTTCAAACACTGGTAGATCACTGGATACATAATGAGATCTTATAAAAGTTGAAAACACAAGCAACAAAGGTTTGAACACATATAACCCTTGATACATAATGATTGATTATCATATAAAAGTTGAAAGAACACAAAAAAAAATAGTCAAACCAGAGTAGTCAATCCCTTATGGCAGAGCAGGGCACCTGACCGCGGAAAGGAGACATATATGGAAGATAGCTGCGGAATGCGAGTTAACAATATGGAATATAGACAGCGGGAAAGAGTCATAGTATATGAGAGATAGCCGTTTTTTAATATTCAGAGCAATCAATCCTGGATAGAGGCGGCCGACCGGCAGGATAACATATAGTCAAAACCGCTTTTGCTTTTTAATAATTTTTTTGGTAAACTTACATACTAAATGAACATTTAGTGTAAAATTAAACAAAGAAATCAACCCATGCAACATTCATATATCAAATCACAAACCTTAAAAAAAAAAGCATTCAAAAATCGACAAATCTTAATCAAGACACTGAACCAACATGCAAAAAAATTATAGATGATGCACGAGACAAAAAAAAAAGAATTAAAATAGAATAAAAATTAACAAATAACTAAAGATAAGAAAGAGTAAAAAAAGAAGAATGAAGGAAATGAAAAAAGTAACAGAGGGGAAAAAGAAATGTGTTAAAGAAAGATGATAGGAGAAGGAGTAGGATTGACAGCAGAAGAAACATGTTTGAAACCTTGAATAAAAAGGGTGCATCATAGGAAAGAGAGGAGGGACAGTAGGTTAAAAATCTTTACCACTTACAATTAAAACATTTTAAGGGGTAATTTTGACTTTTTCAAGTGAAAAACAATAAAGCGCACCTGCAAAAACCCAAGGACAAAGTGTGGCGGCCGCCAGAACACAGCGGACAGCCTCCACCCCATCCATGGTTCAAACACATATAGTAGTTGAAAGAACAGTTGAAAGAACACGAGCAATAAATATTCAAACGAGAGTAGTCAATCCATATATGGCGGCGCAGAGCGCCTGACCGCGGGAAAGCAAGTTAACATATATGACAGATAGACCGCGGGAAAATGAGTTAACATATATGGCAGATAGACCACGGGAAAGAAATTAACGTATATGGCAGGTAGACCGCGGGAAAGAAATTAACATATATGGCAGATAAACCGCGGGAAAGAAATTAACATATATGGCAGATAAACCGCGGGAAAGAAATTAACGTATATGGCAGATAGACCGCGGGAAAGAAATTAACATATATGGCAGATAGACCGCGGGAAAGCGAGTTAACGTATATGGAAGATAGACCGCGGGAAAGCGAGTTAACGTATATGACAGATAGACCGCGGGAAAGCAAGTTAACATATATGACAGATAGACCGCGGGAAAGCAAGTTAACGTATATGGAAGATAGACCGCGGGAAAGCGAGTTAACGTATATGACAGATAGACCGCGGGAAAGCAAGTTAACATATATGACAGATAGCCACTATTTAATAATCAGAGTATTTAATCCTGGGTGACAGAAAAGGGTGCCCCCGACTGCAGAACAGCGGGATAACATATGCCCGTGAAAACCAAAGGACAAAGTGCGGCCAGAGCCACAAGCCTGAACACGGCGGACAGTCTCCACCCGATCCCAGGTTCAAACACATATAGTAGTTGAAAGAACACAAGCAACAAATATTCAAACACAGATTTCATGTCTCCAACAAGATTTCGATAATACTATACCAATACATCTTCACAACAACACAATATGTGCATTGCATTTGCATGTTGTGTTCATAAGATAATCCATTGAATTCTAAACCCACAGTACTAATTTCAAAAAGTAAATAAGTTAAACAGCATAATTGTAAACTAAAAAATCACTACACCATAGCAAAAAACCTGAACACAAATAAAAGACCAAAGTTGTATAACCACAGGAAACCAACACTGCCTATAACAACAAACCTAATCGCTTGATGATGACTTCAATGCATCCAATATCGACATAGCCTGATCCACAGCCAAATCAGCTCTCATCTTAAACACCTCCATTTCAGCAATTTGCACCTTCTCCCACCTTCTCGCCAACTCTTTCCTCTCTGATTCCTCAATCAACTCCATTCCCCTCTTCATCGCACCTATAGTCTCCCGAGTTGCACTTACACTCTCGTCAAAACGAATCAGTTCATTCAAAGCCAAACTCGGACCGCGATTCTCCGTATCAGTTCTTTCCACCTTCCTGGTTTCCTTCACAACCATCGGCGAATCAGGTTCCAAAACCAATTTCTTAGTTGTTCTTGGTTTCTTAGCAGCAGGTTCCTTCTGGGAAAGTTTCCCATTAGGTTTTCCCTTCTCTTCGGCTTCATTGACATTGAATTTACCACCCCAAATCTTTTGGCTAAACTCAAATATTATCCGGTCATTCTGTTTGGAGAAATTAGGAGTCTTTCCAGTCTTTGCTTTCGTCTCGTATTTATGCTTCAGCCTCCGAATCTTATCTCTGAGCTGCTCCAGTGTAACTTTAAAGTGGATCGACTTTTTCACAAACTCGTAAAAAGCCGAGTGGTACTTGAAAGGATCGGTCTGTGTTTTTGTAATGAAATCATACAGACCTTTGATAATGGCCATTTCATCATCCTCGTTGAACACTCTCTGAAACAGCCTTTTAGAATCATCACCGGATTTCTTATTGTCCTCCTCGCCAGTTTTCGTCTTCTTCGCTTGCTTGGGATCGTTGTCAGGAGTAGGACGTTTGGTTCCAGATCTGGCCGGTGCGGCAGAGGGTTTTGGTTCGGCCTTTGATTTGATCTGATCAAGAGGCTTTGAGCTTGAGTTGAGGGATTTCAGTTTGGGGGCTGGTTCATCTTCAGAGTCTGAATCGGTTTCTTCTTCGTCTTCAGAGTCCGAATCATCTTCAGTTTTTGGATTCGGACGAGAGTTGGCAGGTGGAGTAGCGTTTTTGGAAGAATCGTCTTCTTCGTCATCATCTTCCGCTTCATCTTCATCTTCATCTTCCGCTTCAGATGAAGAAGAAGCGGATGATAAATCTTCATCATCTTGTTCTTCAACCTTGCCTTCTTCCGGACGTGGAGGCGACGGTTTTTCGTCGTCTTTCGGGGCGGGAGTGAGTGGCTGGTCGTCTTTGGGAGCGGCGGTGGTGGAAAGCTTCTCGATTTGAGAAGAGCTCCGTTTCTTTCCCATGGCGAAAATTGAAATTAGGGTTTCGAGGAAGAGGTGGAGAGGTAACTGAACGTGAGAGAGTGTCAGCAATTATAATATAACATATATTTACCTCAAATTTTATAACAATTAGAAATTGGAAAAGTCGCTAGGTTTAAACGCGTTGGGCCCAAAACACCAAACCTTCAAACTGTAGTTAGATTTATAATTGTTTGTTTTTCACTTTTTCGGCAAAATATCATCACATTTATCTACCAACATATACTTTAGATTTTGTAAGTACAATTTGGGACATAGACAAAAATAAAATCATTCTATCATCTACATAAATCACGAATTCATTTACAGACTTCTAAACAAGGAAATGTATGTTACTATTTCTTACAAATATAGTGAAAGAACACTTATCATTTATAATTTGTTAAATAAGTTCAAACACATATAGATCTCTTGATACATATTGACCATCATATAAAAGTTAAAAGAACACTAGCAATAAATATTCAATTTATAGTAGTCAATTTAAAATAGCGGTAGAGTGTCTGATCGCGGAAAATAGTGTTAACATATATGTTAAAAAGAATGCGGGAAAACGAGTTAACAATTTAAAATTGTATAGTGATTAGATTCAAATAAGTTGAGTCCAAAATATCGAATTTAAACAAATTGTAGTTGAATTTATAACTATTTATTTTCTTTTTTGCAAAATATCATCATATTTATCTACCAAACAATTACATTAGATTTTGTAAGTTAAAGTAGAAACATGGACAAAAATAAAATTATTGTATCATCTTCATAAACCACAAATTCATTTACAAATTTCTTAAAAAGGAATATTCTTTCTTACAAGTATGGTGAGTAAAGAAATGCAAGAATGACTTGAAATATGCACATTACTCATAGTTTTCACTAAAAACATAATGATAACTTTAATTCTTTTAAAAGTTATTTAAGTGATACATTATTGTCTTTGGTATTTTATTTCTTCATAAAATGTAGCAACGCGTTTCTAAAAAATACTCATCATTTATGATTTTCTTGAATGAATTCAAATAAATGACAAATTTCTCAAATTTTAGAAATAAGGTAACAATATTAAAATTATAGTTAAAAATAACCGATTTTAAAATATTGCAAGACTACTTTGACATTTGACAATACCATTGACAACAATTAAATGGATATCACACATACCTGAATTGAATGTAATTTGAACTGCATACGACATTAATAAATTTTTCTTTTATATAAAATTAATGGATGATCGTAGTATAACGTAACATAGTGGATTTACGGTTGAGGTTTGATCTATGTACTTCTCTAGTTCTAAATATAAGAATCATGTAATGGCATCTAGACTATAATTTGAGGTTATTTGGGAGATTAGGGAGGTTCATTATGTTGTACTCAAAGTATCTTTATTTAAATGTATGTGGATTGACAATAACATTAATGTACTAATTGATGAGTTAGGATTTACATGGGTTGACCTTTGCAAGACAACTTATATGGGAAAACCATCCATCATGACATCCCAAGAAAACCAAATGGTTTATGTCACTGATTCTTCTGACAATAGATGGTCAATTGTCTTCATGGAAAGCACAATCCTCTTAATGATGAAAATCAAGATTTAACTCTTGATATTCTTGAGACCCCTTCTTTTACAACACATGTTATTCGTTATGATCATCAAGAAAGTATATGGGAAAATTAACAAGTAAATATTTTTTATTGTTATTGCTTATTTTAATTTCCAAGTGTTTTTATATGTGTGCCAACAACTATTATTTCAATTTATAGGTATTTAAAGACAAGAACCAAAAGACGTGTGTTCCCGTCGTGCATTTTATTCCTTTATGTTTATGTATCTATTTTTGCTAAGTCTGTGGTTTTATGATTGATAACAATTTTGCTAAAATATATATCTCAACAAGATGTTGTAACATGTGTCTTAACATTTTGGTCATACATCACTAAGGACAGATGTTGGGCACGATGACGTAACATGTTATACCAGACATCAGTGTAGACTTAGGTTTTACCTCTTGGAAGATTTGCTTTTAAAATATGATATTATGTATGGTTTTAGTTCTCATACAGTCGCAGACCAAGGAGGGTTATATTAAGAATATTGATACTATAGCAGAATTGCTTTTGTTTCATAAAAAGGATCTTGGAGACTTTTTAGGAAACTTATATTTTTGTTTCTATTTTTGTGGAGAATATTTTGTAGAAGATTTGCAGCTGAAATATTGGATATGCACGAAGAGTCCAATTTTGTGCTTGCAAGAGTCTTTTTATAAGGACTTTCTAAACCAAAAACACTTAGAGAAGTTGTGTGCGTAACACCCCGATTTAAAAAGAATTATTTTTAATTAAATAATTACAATGCAGTGTATTCTTATGAATTAGTTGGAATTATTTTATTTAATAATTGGATGACATGATGTATTTATATGAGTTGATAAATTTTATGACGTGTTTATATGTGTTTTGATGGAATTATTAGAAGATTAGAAGTAATGAGAATTGTAGAAGTTAAGGTGTAGGGGTGTGTGGCTAAAAGTGTAGAGACATGGGGTGAATGGAGAATATTAGTATCATTGTTATTATTATTATTATATTTATTATTGCTATTATATGAGATCAATAGTAATTATAATATTAATAATTAAATAATTAGATTAATCTAGTAATAAAAAGAGGGGTATGATGGGGATATCTATATTAGGGGTCTAAAAGAGAGAAGATGTTTTGGGTTTTCTGATCAATCATAAAAATTGAGAGAAGAAGCGGAAGAGAGAAGAAGAGGAAGAGCATTAGGAAGCTAGAGCAAGGGATTTCACCGTAGAGATTTTGAATCGTCGATCTAATATAAGAGTGGGGTTCTGACTCTTTAATAGGTGGTATAATTATGGGTAGATGAAAGTTTGAATGTTAGGTTTTGGTGTAGGTTATTTGATTTAATCCGTTGAAATTGACTATAATCGATGAATTGATGCTTTGAATTGTGTGGTAGTTGATGTATGTTGATAGTAATGATAATTGGATGTTTGATTGTGCATTATTTCATGAAGTGTGTGTTTTGGAATTGAGACAATAGGGTTTTCGTATTGTACTTTACGAAATTCGTAAAACTGTTTTTCACAGGATGCAATCGATTACAGCAGAAGAGAAATCGATTACACTGCTTAAAAATTGGGATTTTTGCTTCTGTTTCGGTAAGAAACCGATTGCAGCAAAAGAGTGAAACAACCGGCTGAACAAATCATCGAGATGAAATCAATGAAGTTGTCATCGAACGTTTTTTATCCCACGTGAATGGAAAGATAAACATCGAGTAAACCTGAGAAGAGTAAAATCAAGGTCGAACGACCAATAGATGCGGGTAAGGGAGTTTGTCATGCAAGGGGAAGTTATTAGCACCCCACACTCTCGTAGTACTCTATGGTATTCTCTCTTATTATTCTAATCTAATGAGTGTGATTAAAGTCTATGTCTAAGGTTTGAAGTAAAAAATAAAGAAGCAATGCATGCAAGAGAAAAGGAAAAGAAAGAAATTTTTACAAAGATATGCTCGATTAGGCCTCACAAAAAGCTTCCGCCTACGTATCCCTTTTAAGGAATCAGAAAGTTTTAATTTTAAATGCAAGGATGCAAAAAGAAAGAAAACATCTAAGGAAGACTATCTAGAATTGAATCCCTAATGTTATCATATAATGATTGATCATAAGGTTGAGTTTTGAAAGGGAAATTCTCTATCCTATATTAGCATGCATGGATACTTATCCTAAGGTCTAACTCGAATCAGGAAAGAAACAAGCACATCCTAAGGGAGCATGGTATATACAAATAAATTCTTTGGCAAAAGCACCCAATCGGGGTGTACTGACTCAGGGGACATGGGGTATAAAGAGAAAATACTTTAGCTAAGGGAAGCGGATCACCTGAAGAAAACAAGCGGGAGACTGAGATGAAATAAAATAAAAAAAAGAAAAATAGTACTTTAGCTAAAGGGAGCGGATCACCTGAAGCAAATAAGCGAGTATCGAAGTTTCAGCAATGGCCATTGTGAACTCCTGACGAATGGTGGGGGTTCAGACCAAAGCCTTTTCCACATGACCGACTCGACACACGTGATTTGCACAAATTCAGAGCATCGACGTATAACGTGGGCTAAGGATGACACAGACGAAATACAAGGGTTAATTTTAAACCCTTTCCGCTCGCCTCCTTTTGAGTACTTATTAGGGTGGAGGGATATGCAAAAACAAACGTAAATACACCTGCAGAATACCTACTTAAAAGGTAAGATTTTAAATAAGCACAAGTAGCACACATAATGCAGAATTTCCCTAAACGGATCTTTAAATAAACCAGAGGGATTCCTGACATGATCAGCAATGGAGATCCCCGTCATACATCTCTATTCCTACTTCTCATGGCAAGGAAAACAGTAAAATACCTACTTGACATGATCTCTAGAAAGCAATAAGATGTGAAAAGAACATAGAAGGGAAATGTACCAAACAGATAACAATCAGTAAATGCTAAGCAATAACAAAGAAACCTGAAAAACTTCGCAAGATGTTATCACCAATAAAGAAAATACCATCATCATAGGCATCAAAGCATCAACAAATCAAGATTGGAATGTGTAGCTGTGATCGGTGGATCTGGAACTGACTGTTTTAAAGCTGGTTCGCGAGATGTCGCGGAAGCAAGAGTCGCCACCGTCTTTTATTTTCTCCAATAGGAAAGGACAAAAGCACAGAAAAATTCCTTAAAGAGATTGCTCTCGGTTCGGGAGGTAGGTTATAGAAAGGGAAGGTGTTAGCACCCTTTCTATCCATGGTTATCCATGGGCTCTTAGGTACTTGCTCAATGTGTTTTCAAAAATTGTTTGCTTGCTTTTCAATGTGGGTTTCAAAAATATTCTTTGAAAAGTTTCAGTTCAACTCGTACGTCAGAGTGTTTGAAAAGTTTGTTTTGAAAGTTTTTGAAAGTGTGTTGGT